TTCACCCATGTTAAACATTCATACCCCGCCTATGAACAGCCGACTACTGGTAGTTAAGTGATGTTCACGTGAACATCGATGAGTCATTACAGTTTTAGATAGTTATAGTATAATAAAAAATTGAAAATTGTTGTAATGGGAACTAAAAACTTCTTTTTCGAGTTTTTCTAATAACTATCATGACTTGGCCTATTAGCCGTTTCTGGCTTGACGTCGACTTCTGGGATACCCTGTATACATTATAATATACACTTCTGAATCCATCAGAACATTTACTATTCGTCATTGTCTGTCAGAGCGGTCCGTAGGACCTTTGCTCTTGGTTAAAGTCTTGTAAGTCAGTAGGTCTGTCAGGTCTGGTTGCCCAGATACCAAACAAAGTCAGGGAGAAAGAAGGGAAGAAGAAAGGAAGGAAGGAAGGAGGGAGAGAAAAGAAAAAAGAAGTGCATCAATTTGAGGGGTGGCTTGGCATTGCTAGTTAGTATTAGGCAATTTTAAATTGATCCTAAAATTAATTTTGGGATTGGTTGTTGAAGAAAAATTATAATTTTGGTTGGACCTAAAGTCACACGACTTAATTTTGTTCACAGTGCGAGTCGCGGCCTTGTGTGCTTGCGAACTTGCTCGACTGTGTAGTCTACTGACTTGCGCAACAAAGGGTTGTTATGCGATTCTGCTTGACTGTAACGTAGCTGCGCTTGTTGTTTGATGTAGTCCCTTAGGTAAGGGATGTCAAGGTCTCTGTGAAGGCTCTCGTGGAAACATACCATGGGGCATTAGTGACTGTACGCAAGGTTCTGTTCTGCAAAACCTGCAGGCCTCGCAAATCCGTTTTGGCGAGAAAACACCAAGCCGCACTTGCGTAAGTGATCGCTGGTCTAATAACCATCTTGTATAGCCGAACTTTGTTGATCAAACTTAATTTTGATGTTCTACATAGCATAGGGTAGAGTTGCCGAAACGAGATTTGGAATTTAGTTTTTAATGATTCAGTGTGCTTCTGCCAGGTTATCCCCTTGTCAAGAGTGACACCGAGATACTTAGCAGAGCTTTCCCATGGTACCCGAGCTCCATTCACTGAAACTTTAGACGGGGCGCCGCTACGTTTTTTAGTACAATATATTGCCTGAGTTTTCGAATGATTAATTTTGATCAGCCACCGATTCGCCCATTACAATACCTCGTCCACTGCACTTTGCAGCCTGTCGTGAACTAGATCCCCAGAGCACGACTGGGTCACCAGGGCAGTGTCGTCGACAGAACGTTATTAATTTTGATCCGAAATTTCCTACCCTCGAGAAAGGATTTCAAAAGTTTTAGGAGCCAGAAGGGGAAGTCCTTATGGATCAATTTGTAGAGAAGGCCTTTGTGCCACACCTTGTCAAATGCCTTTGAGAAATCCAGTAGCAAGATGCCAGTACTTTCGTTACGGGTGAACCCCCTGGTTATTCGTTCAACAAGCCTTATGGCCTGTAGCTCAGTACTATGCTCAGACCGAAAGCCAAATTGCACGGCAGGAATCACATTGTGGTCTACCGAGAAATTTTCAAGGTGATGTAGAATCACCTTTTCAGCGAGTTTAGAGGGAGCTGACAGTAGACTAATGGGGCGGTAATCCTGGGGGAATATCGAACCCACCTTCTTTGGAATCATTATGACATCAGCGGTCTTCCACGCTGTTCGGAAGTGCTGGGTCCTTAGCATGGCATTGATTATTGCCACGAGATAGCTTCAGCGCCTTATTAGTGATTCGATCCTCTCCAGGTGCTTTACGTACCTTGAGGTCTTTAATATGACCTTGGAGCTCTGCTGGTGTGCAATGCGGAGTCTCAGGAGATTCCGCTGATGTGCCGTGCAGCTCTTCAATTGAGGAATCTTCTGAAGATTCCTCTGAGGAGAAATCACTAAGGGAGGCACTACTGCCACTGACGCCGTTGGCCCTAAAATATCTCCTGACGGATCTTACAATATTTTGCTCCTCGTCGAGGTCATTATCATGGTCATAGTTGGGAGAGAACTGACTTTCCATTGCATCAGCGAAAACCTCGACCTTTTCCTCTGTCCTACAGACTAAGCCCCTGGACCGTGGATGTGCGGGAGTTGTTCTCGCTTTCCGTTTCTGAGCGACTTTGCAACTTTCCAGAAAGGAATACTTGAGTCAATCATCCCCGACAGAAAGTCGCTCCATTGCTCATTACGGAATTCATGAAGAGCATTTCTCACTTCATGAACAAGATTAGTTGCTCTGTGAATGTCATCTGGGTGACAAGACCTCTTCGCTTGCTTAATTGCAGCTCTTTGTAAGAAATTTTCTGACGAATGTCTGCAGGGAGAAAAGGTCTGCCGTGTCGTCATACTGGTAGTACAGCTGCACGCTGCAGAGCTTGCTGAACGGAACTTGTCCACTCCGCTTGACCAGCATCTATATCGTTCTCATCATCTATGATCGGGATATTGGGGAACTCTCTAAGGAGCGACTTGTATAGCTCCCAATCAACCCTTTTCCTTGGAAGAGTTTCCCCTTCCAAGGTTTGCTCATTACCGACTTCCAGTACGATAGGAAGATGATCGCTCGAAATGTCATGATTCGAGAAGTGACACTGAATCTACAGTTTCTACATATCGCGAAGTCAATGACATCTGGTGCCTGAAGGTGATTAAATGGGATCTGAACATTTACAGTGATAGACCACTGACGCAGACATTCGTTGTCATTGAACTATCAGAATATCAAAAAATCTAATGAAAAATATGTTTCAGAATCGTTTAAAAGAATAGATCACACGTTTGGTATAAATACCCTTTATTGACCTAAATACGGCTGCGCAAACGAATTTTCAGACATTTACCCATTCCTTCACGTCATCAGCGACTCAACCTATACAGAGTGTTTCATTGGGAGAGATAAACATTCAATCCATGGTTATGGTTATCATGGCCCCTAAATAACGGGTGATTTTTTTGCTAGTATCTTTTTGGCAACACTGTTCAGTTTGGTCTATAATTTAACCATGAATCGACTTACGAACGAACAACGCTTGCAAATTATTGAATTTTACTATCGAAATTCATGCTCGGTCAAGAGAGTGCATCGAGCACTGCTTCCAATTTATGGGCAATTTGGTCGGCCTACTGAGGGAGCTATTCGGAAGCTTGTGACTAAATTTCGAACCCAGTTTACATAATTGGACATTAAACCACCAACACGCAGACGTAGAGTGAGGTCTGAAGAATATATTGCGGCTGTATCCGCCAGTGTTAGTGATGACCGTGAAATGTCGATTCGCCGCCGTTCGCAGCAATTGGGCCTCTGTTACTCCACTACGTGGAAAATTTTGCGACAGGATTTGGGTGTAAAACCTTATAAGATACAGCTGGTGCAAGAATAAGATACAGCTGGTGCAATTGAAGCCACACGACCTCCCACAACGTTTCCCATTTGGTGAATGGGTGCTGGCAAAGTTGGAGGAAGATCCACATTTTTATCGAAAAATTGTGTTCAGCGACGAAGCTCATGTCTGGTTGAATGGGTACGTTAACAAGCAAAATCGCCGCATCTGATGTGAAGACCAGCCAGAAGCATTGCAAGAGCTACCAATGCATCCCGAAAAAATCACTGTTTGGTGTGGATTATGGGCCGGTGGCATCATCGGGCCGTACTTCTTCAAAGACGACAATGGCCGGAACGTAACTGTGAATGGCGAGCGCTACCGTGCAATGATAACAAACTTTTTTTTTGCCCAAAATGGAAGAGCTGGACTTGGCTGACATGTGGTTTCAACAAGACGGTGCCACATGCCACACCGCACACGAAACAATGGCCCTATTGAGACGCGAGTTCGGTTCACGTTTGGGGCCCGTCAATTGGCCGCCTAGATCGTGTGATTTAACTCCGTTGGACTATTTCTTGTGGGGCCATGTTAAGGCTAATGTCTACAGGGATAAATCAGCAACGATTGGCGCACTGGAAGCTAATATTGAAGCATTTATTCGTGAGAAACCGGCCGATATGTTGGAGAGAGTGTGCTAAAATTGGACCTTGCGCATGGGCCATCTAAAGCGGAGCCGCGGCCAACATTTACATGAAATAATCGTTAAACATTAAATTATATCGACCGTTCTATCGGCTCAAATAAAGATTTAATCGTTTTATCAAATTTTTCTTGTGCTTTTTTTAAAATCAAATCCTATACCTCTTAAAAAATCTAAGCGCCTTATGCTCGAGTCTTCCTTGTACTTGTTTTTCATTTGATCGCCATACACCTTCACAGTCACTACATCAACAATAGCTAAATTCTAATATCTCGCCAAAAGAATTACAAATGGAACAACTGAGGAGTTCGGTACTGCGCCTGTCCCGGTCATTCACGATTGAAGAGCCGAGTCCTGCCAAGTAGGCGATTTAAATAAACAGTTTAACTGTTTTATAAAAACGTTCAGTTCTTTTAAATTTATTCTTCTATCTGAACTAATTTGTCTAAATTAATTAACCGGTCAATGAAACAGCTACATGATTTACCGGTTTCAAGCAAATTAGTTTAATACCTTATTACTTTTAAAAAGCCTGGTTAAAGAAAATTCGCTTCAATTAAACCAAATAGATAAGTTAATTTGAAGAATTAACAAGTTTATTACGGGGATTGAAACTTTTCCAGAAATTGGTTAATTGACCACATTTTCCCAGAGTAGTTTTAAACAGATAACTAATGTTTACCTGCATCTGGTCCCCTTAAAGAATCATATTTAATATTTTGGCAATATTTTCAAAACTTGTAGGACCCGGTTTTTTATTAAGACTAATGTCGTCACGTGTGAAGTGCGGAGTCAACCTATTGGTGCCATATTAGAAAAATCCAAAGCTTATTTTTGTAAATCACCAAGCAAACTCCAAAACACCCAGAGTGAGATAACACGTGTTTTTCTATGTTAGCATCCGTAGGCAAAGATATAAACCGGTAAAAGCTTTATTTTGGAATAATGTGATGATTGTGTTCTTTCAGCGAATGAGCCAATTGCATTTATGTTCCCCGTCGACGGCTCGGACACAAAATTCATCGCTGGATTAAGCAAAAAGCTGGTGTTTGTTGAATGGGATGGCAAAAGTCCAGAAGTATCTAAAGTAGAAAAAATAGTAGAGGTCGAAAAGGAAAAGGAGTTCAAGGGTAACCGATTCAATGGAGCTAAAGTTGATCCTTGGGGAAGGCTCTGGGCTGGTAAGTACAATCGTTATGTTTATGAAAAATATGTTGAATTTGGTTTCAATTTTAGTATGTTTTACCTTCAAATTCCAGAGCTTACCATATATTTGTCCAATCGTGCAGAAACTGATGTGACTTGAGTTGGAGATACATTACTTCATCGATTCATACAAATAGTACAAATCAACAAACGAATAAGCACAATTGAAGCTAATTAAGGAAACATAAATCTTTTTTTAGGTACGATGGGACCTACAGGTGCCGATGGAACTACAGAGAACCACAAAGGCGCACTTTACAGTTTGAATAAAGGTGTTCTGAGGAAGCACGAGTCAAATATTGGAATTTCAAATGGATTAGCTTGGGATACCAAAACGAACAAGATGTATTATATCGACACACTGGTCCCTTGCGTTTTCCAGTATGACATAAGCAAGGATGGAACACTAAGTAAGGCAAAGAAGAAGTATTTCATTATAACGGGTGATTTCTTAAGATGTATAGGATTTGATTTAAAAAAAAAAACACAAAAAATTTGTAAAAACGATTAAATCTTTATTTGAGTCGATAGAACGGTCGATATAATTTTAATGTTTAAAGATTATTTCATGTAAATGTTGGCCACGGCTCCGCTTTAGATGGCCCATGCGCAAGGTCCAATTTTGGCACACTCTCTCCAACATATCGGCCGGTATCTCACGAATAAATGCTTCAATATTGGCTTCCAGTGCGTCAATCGTTGCTGGTTTATCCCTGTAGACATTAGCCTTAACATGTCCCTACAAGAAATAGTCCAACGGCGTTAAATCACACGATCTAGGCGGCCAATTGACGGGCCCCAAACGTGAGATAAACTGTTCACCGAACTCGCCTCTCAATAGGGCCATTGTTTCGTGTGCGGTGTGGCATGTGGCACCGTCTTGTTGAAACCACATGTCAGCCAAGTCCAGCTGTTCCATTTTGGGCAAAAAAATGTTATCGTCGCACGGTAGTTCTCGCCATTCACAATTACGTTCCGGCCATTGTCGTCTTTGAAGAAGTACGGCCCGATGATGCCACCGGCCCATAATCCACACCAAACAGTGATTTTTTCGGGATGCATTGGTAGCTCTTGCAATGCTTCTGGCTGGTCTTCACTCCAGATGCGGCAATTTTGCTTTTTAACGTACCCATTCAACCAGAAATGAGCTTCGTCGCTGAACACAATTTTTCGATAAAAATGTGGATCTTCCTCCAACTGTGCCAGCGCCCATTCACCAAATTGGAAACGTTGTGGGAGGTCGTGTGGCTTTAATTCTTGCACCAGCTGTATCTTATAAGGTTTTACACCCAAATCCTGTCGCAGAATTTTCCACGTAGTGGAGTAACAGAGGTCCAATTGCTGCGAACGGCGGCGAATCGACATTTCACGGTCATCACTAACACTGGCGGATACAGCCGCAATATTTTCTTCAGTCCTCACTCTACGTCTGCGTGTTGGTGGTTTAATGTCCAATAATGTAAACTGGGTTCGAAATTTAGTCACAAGCTTCCGAATAGCTCCCTCAGTAGGCCGACCAAATTGCCCATAAATTGGAAGCAGTGCTCGATGCACTCTCTTAACCGAGCATGAATTCAGATAGTAAAATTCAATAATTTGCAAGCGTTGTTCGTTCGTAAGTCGATCAATGGTTAAATTATAGACCAGACTGAACAAGTTTGACAATGACACAAGACTCGATCCACGCGTCATCTGTCAAAAACAGTGTTGCCAAAAAGATACTAGCAAAAAAATCACCCATTATAATTGATAGTTTATATAAAAACTAATTACATCTGAGAACAAATAATTTGCTACGGATTCTAAGGAACTGTCTAACTCTAACTAATGCATAACTTAATGACACTATACGTTATAGTTTTCCATATCCTTCCATGTTCTCATAAAGTGAGCTCACATGTATTTACTACTACTACTACTTTACTAATGTCAATAATATTTTCAAGACAGATTATAAAAAACTTGGAAGTACAAAAAATATGCAATATGCACAGTTTTGGTTGAATCAAGTACTCATAAGAAGCATGCGATGTAGTTATATTGCCACGAAAATAATTGTGAACGTTTATATATTTGCTACAGAAAAATGATAGATGCACTTTACAAGTGGGTTACAAGTTTATTGTCGCAATGATGCTGTTAATCTAATCTACTCTTGACTGAGCTGAAATGAGTAAAAAAGCTCTAAATCACATCTTGACTATTGATAACTTCACCACAATAACGTGTAGTAATTTTGCAAACTAACGATGTGTCATCAGAAGTTTTGTTGCATTCGTTGCTCGATTTGGTGTATATGCTTTTGCCTAGGCTACCATCCTTTCCAGCTTTGGTGCCTGTTCTTGCTAGAAAATTGGCTACTTCAATCTACTGAGTTGCATGAGCAGCGAATAGTTCGTGTTGGCATACACTTGCTATAGATGTTAACATTAAAAATATGAATTCTAACATGAGAAATCTTATGCACTAAATGGTTATAGCACTTCTGCTACTAATTTTATGGAATTCTAGAAAAAAAATTCAGTCTAATATTTTGCATCTTGTACATATTTACATTTCAGGTAATAAGAAAGTGGTCTTCGATTTCAAGAAACAGAACATAAACGGACTTCCAGACGGCCTGACAATTGATTCAAATGGAAACTTATGGGTGTGCGCTATTCATGGATCCCATTTGGTTAAATTCAATCCAAATGATGGCAAAGTCATTGAGAAAATCCTGTTCCCAACGCCTCAGGTACAATCCAGGTTCTTAAAAGCTTATCTGTAGAGACAACTGCAGAAATTACGTGCCCAAGAATTGTGGAGGATGGGAGAAAAGATATAGTCCTATAACGAAAATCTATACACCTTGGGAAAAACCATTATTATACATTATGATGAGGAAGAGAGATGGAAATATACAAAAAGTATGTAGGTGCGTGAAAGACACTCGATTGTAGGATCCTATCTGACAGCGTCGGAGTGTGACGGACAACGGGGTAAAGTAGAAGAGTGATAAAAGAGAGAGATGGCAGAACGGGCGCTGGTGCCTACCGCTTAGACGGATGCGCTCAACAAATGCGATTTGTTTCTCCCATTCGCAGAGTTGCCGATACCAATATGTCATATTTCTAAGAAATCTAAGTCTACCCAAATTTCGGGAAAAATAGCTGCGGATTCCACATAAGAGTATTCCAAAAATGAAAAAAGTTCAAACTATTAAAATTGTATTAATGTTTCATGGTTCAAATCATATTTTTTATGTTTGTATATTGTTGTATAAATGATTTTGTAATCCCTATTCTTGTTGCCAGTAGAGATACAACAGTATTGAGAGAAATCATGGACCGCTAGATAGGGCTACAATTACCATATGACTATCAAATAGTAGTGATAAACAGGGTTTGTTTATAGCACAGTTGCCTGGTGTGGCGAATTTGCGCCATAGGGGCGATTTGACAACTTTGAAGGACAACTATAACGGTTACTATGGTGCCCGGTATTCGGGAATCTGGCAATACCTGATGATTCCTAACGTTTATTACGCCAGATTGTTTGCTGACTTGCGCAGTACAACATGACAATCAACGTGACTGAGCACCTGGTAACCCTGGTTTAAGGTGTTATATTTAAAGAGCTTGGGGCAGTTAGGTATCTAGGTCACATTTTTTAATGTATTTCGAGAAATCCGTAATGTTGAGTAAATACTAGATCACGTTTCTTGCTTAGTTTGCTGAAAATTCTACAATAGACGTACATTTTGAGAAACAGAGATTTGGTGACAACAAAATCGTAAAAATATAACGCATTTTCGTAAAATAATTTCTTTGTTGAAAAGACTGTGGCTTGATGACCCATTGAACGAGTATAGTGTCCCGCTCCGCTTTGAATATTCGAAACACTATACTCCAGCAGCATTCAGCTTCAATGTTATCTTTATGAAGTTCTAACGTCTAGGCCATGCTGATTAAGAGCTTGAATGAATCAACACTTAACTCTAAATTCCCCACAATTCGGGAAGCTCTACTCAAATTGGCAACACAGCGTATCTGCCTATTATTCTCATTCGTGATACAGGTCTGCGGTTAACGATAGGAAATATGTACGAATAGCGATGAAAGTAGACGAGCCGATGCGCTGTTGCCAAGAAATGATTTCCCATGTATAACAATGGTTTTTCCTAAGGTGTATGGTGTTAAAATATGTCGAGTAAGAATTCAAAGACTGTTGTTCTTCGAAAGTTACAGGGTGGGAAATATGTATGACTAGACAATACGACCAAAGGCAAGGAACTAACAACATGAATCTTTGACTAATGTTTTAAAGGAGAATGACAATTTTGAGTGCAATACTTTTTGATTTGTTACCTTTAGCACTTCCAGCAAAAGGTTGGTAACAATTCAGAAATTATTCCATACATTTTGCTTTTAGGTAACGTCAGTATCATTCGGAGGCAAAAATCTGGACAAACTATTCGTAACAACAGCAAGAATTTCTGTAAGTGGGCAAATACCGCCACCACCTGCTGGTACTACTTACGTAGTATACAATGCCAGAGTACCTGGATATGCTGGTGACAGATATAAGCCATAAATCATTAACTGACATGTAAAATAAAATAGTACAAATATGATAACCGAGCAAATATTCGTATTATAATGAACATTTGAAATGCATATATTTCCAGTACTTCTTGGTATTTTTATTCCATATTACGTACAATTTTTGAGAGTGATACTGAATCACGATGCACATAGGTTTCATGAAACTGGTGTCATGGAAGAGGTTTCAAGAAACCAGTTGCATACATTCAAAACACTTTTCCATAAGTTATGACAGTAATGAACGAGGGCGTATTTTTATAATAAAAGCTGACCTACTCACCAGCCGTGGGAAAGCGGTTTGAATTTTATCAGAAATATATGCAAAAACGAATTATGTGCTGTTAGTAGAATTCTCTTCAAAAATCGCTTCACATGTTTTCTCTCCATCTTTCTTCGAATAGCTGACAGATCGGAAATAAAATTCAAAGTTACCACCACCGAAGAAATCACCATCATGCCCCACTGAGACGTAATTTTTCTCTCCTTGGGTAAATAATAACAGAAAGATATCTCGGTAAATAATAATGTCATTTGAAACGGTATCCGTCATGTAGCTATCCGTCTTAACCCAGATATGCCGACGCGATTACTAACATTTTTTTTTAAAATCAATCTACATTAAATATTTGAGAAAGACCCAATAATACTCAGTAATACTTTTTTTACATATCTTTCTCCAAAAAATAGTTTTTTCTGACGACCTATACAGGGTGTTTCAGTTTATTGTTGCATGAATTTAAGATTCGATAGAACTTTTAAAATTAATGCATAAAGTATATATAAACATGGGTCGAAAAATGCGTGGCTTCCGAAATACAGGGTGTTTAAATTTACTTTCTAAAATAGTTTTTTTTAAATATTTCGAACAATATTTGATGTATAACAGTGAAAATTGGTATACAAGGGTTTTTTGGTACGAAAAAACAAACCATGGGCATAGTTTTACTGTAGCCGCTAGAGGGCGCTCTCTACTGTACATGTAGTGTATTAAAATGACCGAAAATTTTTCCTTAGTGCAATTTTTTGCTTTTTGAATAAAAAAAATGATTCTTCGCACTTCACAACATAAAAAAGCTCTCTTGTGAATTTTCGTTATAGTTAGCCGTTTTTGAGATATTTCGATTTTTAAGGTTAGATGCATTTTTAATTATTTATGATAAAATAACGTTAAAAAGTCAGTATCTCGATAATTTTTAGAAGTAGAAATTGAAAGCAGAATAAGTTTAAACGTCAATTAGTTGTCAGTTAGTGTTGTTGTCTGTTGAAACCTGAAACGTTTTTTTGCAATTGTGAATGCACGAATTTAGTTTCTTTTACCTGTTTTTTTGTAAGTTTCATAAAAATGCTATTTTTATTCTCCATTCCTGAGTTAGCGGATATTCATTTTGTGTATGGCTTTGTAAATGGAAACGCAGCAGAAGCAGCCAGAGAATACGCACGAAGATTTTCAAACAGACGACATCCAACTCGCTAAGTATTTGTACGAGTGCATCGCCAAATAATTGAAAATAGTTTTGGAAATTTCCAAAGGGATCAAAACATAAATGTTCGTCAGCGCAGATTTACCCGTATGATTCTGCGTGAGTTTGATAGAGATCCGACCACAAGTGTTAGGAGAGTTTCTGGTGCCTTGGGTATTTCAGCAAGCCATGTTCACCGTGTTCTTAGAAATGACCATAGACGTCCTTACCATTTGCAACCTGTGCAAGGACTACAGCCAGGGAATGGAGAATGAAGAATCACATTTTGTCAGTGGATTCTTGATAGAACTGATAATAATAGGGAGTTTTTAAGTAACGTTTTATGGACCGATGAGTCATGCTTCACTAGACGTGGAGTGGTAAATTTTCATAATCAACATATCTGGTCTCATGAAAATCCGCATGCAGTTCGGGAAAGACATTTTCAGCATGAATTTAGTGTGAACGTGTGGATTGGTATCTACCGTAATCGACTATTTGGACCCTACCTTTTGCCTGCAAGGTTAAATGCTGCGACCTTCTTGGAATTTTTAAAGGCTGAACATGCTAATATGTGGGATGATGTTATGTTGGATTTAAGAAGATTGGCCTGGTTCCAGCTTGATGGTTGTCCAGCTCATTATTCGAGAATAGTTAGAAACTGGCTGGACGAAAATTATCCAGAAAGGTGGATCGGCCGTGGAGGACCAGTCGTCTGGTCTCCACGATCCCCTGACCTAAATCCATTAGATTTCTTTGTGTGGGGATTTCAGACTCCCGTAACCACAAGAGATATGCTAATAGACAGAATCAGGAATGCATGTGATGAAATAAGGCCTTATTTGAATAATGCTATACACGTTCGATCATTCGTAGATGTGAATTGTGTATTGAACAATTGGGTTTACATTTCGAGCAACTACTTTAGATTTTGTATGTTTGTCCTAACTATCCAATAGCATTTTAGTTGTAAATAATTAATTTAGTTTGTTAAAAATAATATTGGAAAATTAAACAAATTAATATTCTGTTTTTTGTGTTTATTTGGAGTTAGGAATTATTGCTGTGTTTAAAAACACAATCTAAACGATCATCTTAATTACTTGTAATGCCTAAATTGAAAATGTATAAAGAAATATTATTTTCCCATAAATAATTAAAAATGCATCGAACCTTAAAAATCGAAATATCTCAAAAACGGCTAACTATACCGAAAACTCACAAGAGAGCTTTTTTATGTTGAAAAGTGCGAAGAATCAGTTTTTTTATTCAAAAAGCAAAAAATTGCACTAAGAAAATTTTTTCGGTCATTTCAATACACTACAGGTACAGTAGAGAGCGCCCTCTAGCGGCTACAGTAAAATTATGCCCATGGTTCGTCTTGTCGTACCAAAAAACCCTTGTATACCAATTTTCACTGTTATACATCAAATATTGTTCGAAATATTTAAAAAAAACTATTTTAGAAAGCAAATTTAAACACCCTGTATTTCGGAAGCCACGCATTCTTCGACCCATGTTTATATAGACTTTATGCATTAATTTTAAAAGTTCTATCGAATCTTAAAGTTATGCAACAATAAACTGAAACACCCTGTATAGGACGTCAGGAAAATAAAATTTTGCAACAGAAATCTAATTTAATGGGTATGGTACATCAGGAAACATTTAACGTGCAGTCCTATGTCGCATTTATAGCATCTGCTCGTTGTTTTCTCATGGCAATAACGACATCGAGTTTGAGATTTTTGTGGGATGACTAAATGATCGATTCTGTCGAACCTTATTTCATCAAACGTGGAGGCAGAAGGTCATCCTCTTTGGTATGTTTTGAATGTCTCCAAAATGGATACCGCAATACTTCTTCGGAATTCTAATTGTACCACTGTGGATCCTTGCTTTCTGCTCAATATCCATGCATTGTTGATTGCCATATCCACGCAGTGCGATATCAATGGAAAGTACCACTTCTTGCCGCGTATCGAAACCCTGTACAAGGACATATCTGGGTCGGAACGATCTACTCCTCCCATGTTTTTGTTGAATAGCTTAACAATACTTGGTTGATCAATATTGTTGAACTTTTTATCTTTTTGTGAATATCTTTTGGTAGAATTCACAGAAAGTACTGTGGCAATAGTAGACTTAAGACCTCACAGGGGAGGGCATGCCGGTGCTCCAAGACTGCACGAACAAATACAGGTCCGCACTGAAATACTTGTCGGGAGGATACTTTATAAAACAAGGTAACATTTTTTTTTTATTTTTACACACATATTTTGGTTTATCTTCCTTCTACAGGGTGGTCCATAAGTCCTTTGAAATTTCAAATTTGAATAAAATTTAACGGGTGAGCGTGAGCGGCGCGGGCGAGGTGGGGGCAGTATCTTCAGTGTCTGGGAATTCAGTCGCCATGGAGTGTTTCACTGGAGCGGCTCGTGCTTTTTGTGTGCGCGCGTTTTATCAAAATAATGATTCGGCAACCATTGCGCGGCGTAAATATCGAGAATACCACAATTTACACAATTTTACAAAGTGTCCAACAGCTCAAACGATTAAGAACTGGGTTGCTAAGTTCGAAGAGACGTTAGATAAACAGCGGTGGGGTCGACCAAGGACAACTCGTATTGAAGAAAACATCAACATTGTGGCACAGTCTGTTCGTCAAAATCCTACCCAGTCTACTCGTAAGCGTTCCAGTGCACTAAACGTACCCAGAACATCTTTACAGCGGATTTTAAGGAAAGATTCACGTCTGCACGCTTACAAAATTCAGTTAGTGCAGGAATTAAAAGATAATGACGCTATTCAGAGACTAAACTTTGCGAATGAAATGTTGAATCGATTTTCTTCGCTCAATAATGTGTTGTTCTCGGACGAGGCTCACTTCCATTTAAACGGGCATGTAAATAAACAAAATTGCCGTTATTGGAGCCCCGAAAATCCAAGGCGTAAGCATCAGAAGCCCTTACACAGCCCTAAAGTTACAGTTTGGGCTGCTATGTCAGTGCATGGCATCGTAGGCCCTTATTTTTTTGAGGACGACAGAGGTCGCGCATTAACTGTTACTTCGGAGCGGTATGTAGCAAGAGTTTTTGACACCAGCGTTGCAGAATTTTCCAGGCTATAATACGCAGACCTGGTTTCAACAGGACGGAGCAACTGCCCACACCTCCAACACTTCTATGCCCGTCGTCTGTCAACTTTTTCCCACCAAAGTAATTTCTCGAAGAGGAGACATTTCCTGGCCACCACGTAGTCCAGATTTGACCCCAATGGACTTCTTTTTATGGGGCTAGCTCAAGAGTAAAGTCTACGACACCACTCCGCGATCAGTTGATGTACTGAAAGAAAATATCCGAAGAGAAATGGCAAGCATTACAGTGTTGACTTGCCGCGCAGTCATCGACAATTTTAGACGTCGTTTATATGAGTGCCGTGATCGTAATGGATTACATTTAGACGATGTGATTTTTAAAACATAATTCCCATTCAATAAAGATGATAACAAAATATAATAATTCTTCATAATGTAACTAGTTTGGTTTTATTCCTTTTTTTCCAGCTCAAAGGACTTATGGGCCACCCTGTACAATCATTATCTGAAAATTAATGACTCAAC